GTTTTTGTGGTCCTGGGGAACTGGCCAAGGAGCGTCTCTCCTGTGCTGGGCATGTCCAACCCCACCACAGTGTCCTTGTGAGCCCCAGCCTCCCCAGCACAGGCGGCTGTGCTGGTGAGCAGCACCCTCCCCTAAGCAAGCACTGTAGGTGCTGTGTGACCCTGCTGGACCTGGGAGCTGGGCTGACTTTAAGTCATATTTTTTGCCCTCCTGTCCCTGAAGGCCCTGAATAACTCAAGATTCAGAAACAGCCTGTGCATCTGGAATATTTCTGGCTCACTCATCGCGCTGGTATCTAGACCACCAGCCCAAAATAGCTCCTTGCTGAGATGCATCTCAGTCATGGCTGGTAGCAAATGGCAGCTAAGTAAGCTTAGTAATCTGCAGGGGGGTAAAGACGTCCCTGCTGTGACCGGCTCATGGCATCACGGGGCAGAACGGCTCTGAGCCTTGCCCTGGCAGGGGAGGACACCACGGCTCAGGTGCTTGCCCTGCAGTCCCTGACCATGCCATGGCTGGAGGCTCCTCCAGCATCTTCCCCACCCTGCAAGGCCGTAGCTGCAGGGGGCAGAGTGAGCAGCTGATGGTGATGGCTTTAATAAGATGGGCTTGAACCTTCTGAAACCAGAAGAGAGGCCCCCGCCTGGGACTGGATCTCCTCTTGAGGGAGGCAGCACCCTGCGGTGCTCCGGGGCACCCCCCAGCACCACAAGTGGGGCAGAGATGGCAGCGCACATACTCACCCACCCCGGCACCCTGGGTTGTGTGTGTGGGCCCTGGTGCTTGCCGCAGGGTGCTGAATCCGGGTGCATTTTCATGCCATGCCATGTAGAGAGACCCCAGAGTGGGTCCCTCTAGGGCTCTGCAGGGTGAGGGCCACCCCCACCCCCTCCAGTTGGGGCTTGGCCCCCTCCGGGGTGGGTTGTTGCAGCATGCCTTGTCCTGCAGCCCACCCGTTGTCCCTGGTCAACAGGGAAGTGACCCTCACCCTCTGCGGGCAGGGGGACGCGGGGCCTCTCCCGCTGCTGCCAGGGGCGAGGGGACTGGCAGCATGTTCGTGTGGTGTCCCCCATCTGCCACTGATTTTACCATCAAAGGACCCCAGGCAGGGGGGACGTGGTGCAACCCCCGCCCCAGCCCGTGCCTGTGTCCTCAGGCTGCGTCCTCCCAGCTCAGGGCTGGGGGCTGCTGGGGCACGTGTGGCCTGGAGCAGCTCGGGGACCTCAGAGCATCTCCCGCGCTGCCCAGTCCAGGCGTGCATGGACTGGACTGGGGGAGCCCTCTTGTGGCCGATGTGCCGAGCAGCCCGGCTGTGCCACACGGTCTGGCTGGTCCGCTCAGACTGACTGTGCTGAGCTTTGCCACGCCAGCCCTAGCTGAGCATCCTCCAGTCTGGTCCCCTGGGAGGATGCTCCATCCCTGTGGGTCCCCCTGGGAGCTGGGGACCCACCCCTGAGTCCCCGTCTGCCTGATTTTGGTCACCCCACTGCAAAAGCCAGGCAAGGACCCTTGCACGGTGTTACCCCAGCCCAAGGGTGTCCCTGGGAGGGGACAGGAACCTGCCCGCCTGTCCCTGCAATGGCACGGTGATCAGCTCTCATGTCGCAGAGATGTGCAAGGGACCGGTCCCCAGGCTGTGACAGCGACTGGTGCATGTGGCAGGGCAGGGACGGGGCCCTGTCCTCACTCTGGGAAGGGTGCAGGACTAAGCATCTCTGTGGTGGGACAGGGAGCAGCCATGTGTCCCTGTGGTGGGGCAGAGTCCCCAGCCGGGCAAGAGCTTGGTGTCACTCACCATGTGCCACCATCTCTGTACTAGGGGACACCTGACGCAGGAGTCCCAACCCTTGGGGATGGGATGGAGGGGGGTTATGTGGGATATGGGAAGGACGTCAGTGGCATGAAGTGGAGGGGACCAGGGACTGGAGCATCCTCACGGATGAAATTTGTGTGAGGCTTGTGCCTCCCCAGCACCATCCTTCCCACCACCCTCCTCCCCAGCACTGGCAAAAAGCAGAACCCCCATCATTTTCCAAATCTTTTTATTGTAAATAAATTCTGCAACATTGCAGGAGGCTTCCCAGGAGCTGGAGCTGGGGCCGAGCGAGGAGCACGTGGTGTCTCCAGTAATGGCAGCTCCAGCAACGGTGCCTCCAGCAGCGGCGACAGCGGCTCCCCAGCGCGTGCAAAGCAGGAGCGCGAGACGAGGCACAGGCGTTCGAGGGGGGGCAGCGAAGCCCCCACCCCACAACCTGGGGCCCCATCCCGGCTGCGGGCGGTAGCGCAGAGCAAGGCAGTGCGGGATGGCGATGCGGCTGGCGGTGAGTTGGCGGGGCGGGGGGTTGCCACCGCCCCGGTGTGCTTGTCCCCTGCCGCGTGCCGGGACGGGGCCCGTGGGCTCAGCCTGCTGGGGGGGGGTCTGGGGAGGGTGTTTTGCTCTCTTGGCTCTGGAAGCACTGGGTGCACCCCCCTCCCCATCCTGGCCGCGGGCCTTCCCTGGCACGTCCGTGGCGGCACCGTGGCACCACTTGACCTTATAGCGTTAAAATCATTAAGAAAAAAACCCCTATATTTTTTTTATATATATATATATATATAAATAAATGTCCCCAAAACCCAGTGACAATGGTGGCTTCTTGCTCTGAAACAGGGGTGTCCCCTTACCGCGAGGTCACTGTGGCTGTGACAAGCTGTGGGGACATTGTGGTGACAGTGATAGAGTCGAGGGGCATTTGGTCCAGCCCCCACACACACCCATGGTGGCCCCAGTTCCCCACATTCCCCAGCCCATCGCCGTGGGGCACCTGGCTATGTCACTTGAGGAGCCACCAACAAAGCCAAGGCTGGCGACGTCCAGCCACCCCCTGCCCTGCTGTTACCTCCCAACACCCTGGCACAGCAGTGACCTGCCCCCTGTCTGGTGCCACCACAGCCAAGGCATCCATGGGCTGGGGGCCACCGCATGCCTCGGCCCTGGCTGGGCTTGGGGACATTGTGTCACCCCCCTGCCTTCATGGCAAAGGGGCCAGTGGCAGGCAGGGACACTGGGTGAAGGAGAAGATGGAGGGGACAGCCTTACCCCACCATGGGCTTGGGAGTCTGTCCTGTGTGTGTGTCCCCAGCTGTATGTCACGGCACGGGGGGGGGTGCATCCCCCTGCTGCCACACACACACTGAGTGTCCCCTGCAGTGTCCCCATCCCCACGTTGTCGTGCCTTCCCCCCGATGCTGAGTGTCACCAGCGGGGGAAGGAGCCAGTGTGGGCCCCTGGTGCTTGGTGGTGCTGTGGGTTGCGTGGCCCTGCAGTCACCCCATGCAGGGTGCCATGGGGCTGGGGGTGACACATCCCCCCCGCCTGCCATGGGGGCTAGGGGGGCACTCAGCAGTGCTGTGGAGACAGCTCCCACGGGTGACACGTGCCACCCACCAAACAGCCCCATGCACCCCAGCCCCTCCAAGGTGGGCCCCGCTGTCACCTGCCCCCCCCTCCCCCAGCTCCAGTGTCACCAGTTTGAGGTTCACCTCCCCATGCTGGGGAATCAGGGGGCAGCCCCTGCCCTAGAGGGAGAGCCTGGCACCCATGGGTGTCAGTCCCCGGTGCTGGGGACATCCAGGTCCCATGGCCAGGCCGGTGCAGCCATGACATTTCGGGGTGGGGGGAGTTTGGGAGGACAACACACAACTCCCAGGTCCTGCACTGGGGGGGCGTGCTGACTTGGTATTGGGGTATACTGGCCTTGTCCTGGGCTATACTGGCCTGCCATTTGGGGGACCCAAGCCCCAAAGCTGGAAGATGCTGATGGG